GCCGATCACAGAGCAGAGTGTCAGCCGATCACAGAGCAGTGTGTCAGCCGATCACAGAGCAGTGTGTCAGCCGATCACAGAGCAGAGTGTCAGCCGATCACAGAGCAGAGTGTCAGCCGATCACAGAGCAGAGTGTCAGCCGATCACAGAGCAGAGTGGCCGATCACAGAGCAGAGTGTCAGCCGATCACAGAGCAGAGTGTCAGCCGATCACAGAGCAGAGTGTCAGCCGATCACAGAGCAGTGTGTCAGCCGATCACAGAGCAGAGTGTCAGCCAATCACAGAGCAGTGTGTCAGCCAATCACAGAGCAGAGTGTCAGCCAATCACAGAACAGCGTGTCAGCCAATCACAGAACAGCGTGTCAGCCAATCACAAAGCAGCGTGTCAGCCAATCACAAAGCAGCGTGTCAGCCAATCAAAGAGCAGCGTGTCAGCCAATCACAGAGCAGAGTGTCAGCCGATCACAGAGCAGAGTGTTAACGGTTCAGGTGTTAGCGGCTCAGGTGTTAACGGCTCAGGTGTTAGCGGCTCAGGTGTTAACGGCTCAGGTGTTAGCGGCTCAGGTGTTAGCGGCTCAGGTGTTTAACGGTTCAGGTGTTAGCGGTTCAGGTGTTAACGGTTCAGGTGTTTAACGGTTCAGGTGTTAGCGGTTCAGGTGTTAGCGGCTCAGGTGTTAGCGGCTCAGGTGTTAGCGGCTCAGGTGTTTAACGGTTCAGGTGTTAGCGGTTCAGGTGTTAGCGGTTCAGGTGTTAGCGGCTCAGGTGTTAGCGGCTCAGGTGTTTAACGGTTCAGGTGTTAGCGGTTCAGGTGTTATCGGTTCAGGTGTTAACGGTTCAGGTGTTAGCGGTTCAGGTGTTATCGGCTCAGGTGTTAACGGTTCAGGTGTTAACGGTTCAGGTGTTAGCGGCTCAGGTGTTAGCGGCTCAGGTGTTAGCGGTTCAGGTGTTAGCGGTTCAGGTGTTTAACGGTTCAGGTGTTAGCCGTTCAGGTGTTAGCGGTTCAGGTGTTAGCGGTTCAGGTGTTAGCGGTTCAGGTGTTAGCGGTTCAGGTGTTAGCGGCTCAGGTGTTAGCGGCTCAGGTGTTAGCGGTTCAGGTGTTAGCGGTTCAGGTGTTAGCGGTTCAGGTGTTTAACGGTTCAGGTGTTAGCCGTTCAGGTGTTAGCGGTTCAGGTGTTTAACGGTTCAGGTGTTAGCGGCTCAGGTGTTAGCGGTTCAGGTGTTAACGGTTCAGGTGTGGAGCTCCTCTGACTCTCCCCTTCTCTTGCAGATAAAGGGCGGCCATGAGAAGCGTCTGAAAAGGTATTTATCTGGAAGTGATTCTGTAAACCTTCCAGTGAACGAGCTGCAGCAGACTGATGCATGTTCCTCTCTCTGCAGAAACCCAAGCAGGAGGTGCTGGAGTCCAACGGGCCCCCCCCCTCAGGCTCAGCAGGAGGTCTGCCGGGCTCCTCCTCTCTCCCCCAGGGGGGCGGCGTGGGAGGAGCAGGAGGAGCAGGGGGGCCCTCCAGTGCAGACCAGCGCTCCCATCACAGGGAGAAACTGGAACGCTTTAAGAGGATGTGTCTGTTGGAGCGCCGGCCAGAGTCTTCCTCCTCCTCTTCCTCCAGCTCAGAGTCAGACTCAGAGTCAGACTCTGATGACTCCCTGAGGGGGGAGGAGCAAGGGGGCGGGGGCTCCTCACCCTCCTCCTCCTCCCCCGCCCCTCCTCCTCCTGTTGTCTACAGCGGGGGGAGGGTGGAGCGAGAGAGGAGGGAGAGAGAGAGGGAGCGAGAGAGGGAGAGACGATTGGCTGAGCTGGGATTCAGTGCCAGTGAGGAGTCAGAGGGGGAGGGAGGGAGGGGGGAGGAGGAGGTGAGGGAGGAGGAGCAGGGGGAGAAGGCACAACGCAGGGGGGAGGCGGGGCTTCAACAGAGAGGACGGAAAGGGGGAGGTGACGACGAGGAAGACACGCCCCCTTCTGACAGGACAAGGAAAAACTCCTCCTCTCTCCCCCCGCCCTCACCCCTCTCGTCCAATCAGATGCCTCCGCAGCACGACGGGAAGCAGCGCAGCAACGGGCAGGAGGCGAGGAATGGGAGGACACGAGGGGGGGTGGCGGGAAGGGAGGGGGGAGAGAAGGAGAACGCCAGCGGGGTTCTGACCAATCACAGACACAGTGGAGGAGGAGGGGGGGGCGGGACCAAAGGGAGCCGCGGGAACAAGATCCGTAGCAACAACAGCAAAACGTCCAGGAACAGTAGCTCCTCCTCCCTCCCCTCCTCCAATGGGGGAGGAGCAGGGGGAGGCGGCCTAACGATGGCCGCCTCCCCCTGCTCTTCCCGCCTGGCCTCCCGCTCTCAGGTGGTGAAGCGCAGCCCCCCCGCTGTGCCCTCCCCCCCCCGTCCCGTGCAGATGGAGAGGCACCTGGTGCGCCCCCCCCCCCACCTGCCCAGAGCCCAGGTCCCTCCCCCTGGACTCTGGCTCCTCCCACATCATGACCCGCGACGCATGGCTGAGCGTCTTCACTCACCTGAGCCAGAGGGAGCTGTGCGTCTGCATGAGGGTGTGTCGCACCTGGAGCCGCTGGTGAGTCACCTGACCTCTGACCTCACTCTAACCTCACTCTAACCTCTGTCTGATCTCACTCTTCAGGTGTTGTGATAACGGTAGTTTTCTTCTTCAGGTGTTGTGATAAGAGGCTGTGGACACAGATTGATCTGAGTAGGCAGCGGTCCATCACCCCCCCGATGCTGAGTGGTATAATCCGCCGTCAGCCCGTCTCCCTGAACCTGGGCTATACCAACATCTCCAAGAAACAGCTGATGTGGCTCATCAACCGCCTGCCTGGTACGACCTCACTCTGACCTCACTCTGACCTCACTCTGACCTCACTCTGACCTGTTTTAAAATCACCACGAGACACTTGATAGAAGATGGTTGACCACTAGTTTTATCTCACCTGTGGTCTCACCTGTGGTCTCACCTGTGGTCTCACCTGTCCTCTCACCTGTCCTCTCACCTGTGGTCTCACCTGTGTTCTCACCTGTGCTCCCCCCTCCCCTCAGGTCTGCTGGAGCTGAATGTGAGTGGCTGTCCCTGGTCAGCTGTGTCTGCTCTGTGTCAGGCGGTCTGTCCCTGTCTGAAGCTGCTGGACCTCAGCAGGGTGGAGGACCTCAAAGACTCTCACCTGAGGGAGCTGCTGGCCCCGCCCCCTGACACCAGGACAGGTGAGACACACACACACTCACACACACCATCGTCACCTGACACGAAGTCTCCTAAAATCTCAAATCTTAAAGACTTTGAATTATTGGGTAAAATAACCCTCTGTTTGTTGTTGAAATAACTAGTCTTTATTCTCTGATAGGTTGATTAGCTCAGTATCATCTGCTCTCTGATTGGTGCTCAGCTCATGACCTATGCTCTCTGATAGGTTGATTAGCTCAGTATCATGACATCTGCTCTCTGATTGGTGCTCAGCTCATGACCTATGCTCTCTGATAGGTTGATTAGCTCAGTATCATGACCTCTGCTCTCTGATTGGTGCTCAGCTCATGACCTATGCTCTCTTATTCGTCGATTAGCTCAGTATCATGACCTCTGCTCTCTGATTGGTGCTCAGCTCATGACCTATGCTCTCTTATTCGTCGATTAGCTCAGTATCATGACATCTGCTCTCTGATTGGTGCTCAGCTCATGACCTATGCTCTCTGATAGGTTGATTAGCTCAGTATCATGACCTCTGCTCTCTGATTGGTGCTCAGCTCATGACCTATGCTCTCTTATTCGTCGATTAGCTCAGTATCATGACCTCTGCTCTCTGATTGGTGCTCAGCTCATGACCTATGCTCTCTTATTCGTCGATTAGCTCAGTATCATGACCTCTGCTCTCTGATTGGTCCACAGCTCACGGTGAGACCAGAGTGGGGCGGTTCCAGAACGTGACGGAGCTGCGATTGGCCGGCCTGGATCTGACGGACGCGTCGTGCCGGCTGCTGGTTCGCTACGTGCCTCACCTGAGCCGCTTGGACCTGAGTCAGTGCGGGAACATCTCAGACCAGGCGTTACACACCCTCACCTGCTCTGCCTCCCCCCTGAGGGAGAGCCTCACTCACCTCAGCCTGGCAGGTACACCCTCACCTGCTGTTATCAGAGAGAAACTGAGCTGATTAGATTTTGGCCACTTTATGTCATAACGATGTTTTAGCTTGTGTAGCCATTAGCATCAGCAACCAAGGTAACCCCCCCCCCCCCCCCTTATCACCTGAATCTCCTCATAGAGGATGCAAACATTTCCAAGAATTCAATAAAGTACTTCTTATCTTATCATTGTGTTTCTTTAAACCAATCATCTCTCTGAGGGGCGTGGCCAATCATCTCTCTGAGGGGCGTGGCCAATCATCTCTCTGAGGGGCGTGGCCAATCATCTCTCTCTCTCTCTCTCTCTCTCAGGCTGTCTCAAGGTGACGGAGCAGCTCCTCCCTCTGCTGCGCCGCTGCTCCACCCTCCAAACAGCTGACCTGCGCTCCTGCTCGCTCCTCCCCCCCGAGACGGGACAGTTGCTCTGCTTCCCCCCCTCCTCCTCTTCATCATCCTCTTCATCATCCTCCTCTTCCTCTGCCACCACCACGGCTGCTGCTTCGTCCTCCTCCTCCTCCTCTTCCTCCTGTCCTCCTGAAGACAGAACGCTGCTGAAGAACAGCTAAACACACACACACACACACACCTGGGTACACTACACAGGTGAGGAAGAGGAGGCAACATTTCTGCAGAGGAAGAAGAAGAAGAGGGAGAAGAGGGTATTTTGGGAGAGTTGGGTAATCGTTAAATAGAAACCCTGAGCATGTACATATTTGTTCTCTGTACAATTTTGGGTGTGTGTATATATCTGTAGTTTACTGTAAATGACCCTTAACCTTTGAGACACCCCCCCTACACTCCTTTCCTCCCTTCCTTTCCTCCCCTCCTCCCCTCCTCCCTCTCTCTCTCCACCCTCCTGCTCGTCACTAGCTGCAGGGAAATGTTAAAAATCTAAAATCAATCATCTGTCTGTGATGTGACTGGACACACACACACACACACACACACACACACACACACACACACACACACACAGGAAGTCCGTACGTTGAGTGTGTGTGAACTTTAAATCAGCCCGGTTGGTCGTTTACAACCCTGTTCATCCTTTTTGTTTTATTTATTTAGACAAAAAAAAAAGCGAGGTGCAGGTGTTTCTGTGTTGGTCCCTGAAGGCATCATCTCTCTGGTCCCTGAAGGCATCGTCTCCCTGGTCCAATGGGATGAGATGTTTTTAAATCCACCAGTGAGATATTTGATGTGGTAGAATTAAAATTGTGCTAACCACAGCCCTGATCTCAGACCAAAAACACATACAGAGAACCATTGACCTCCAGACCAGGGGACAGGAAGTGATGCTGACTCATGCCAAGCTTTAGGACTCATTCCTGCACCTCTCTAAAGTCCTCAGATGTTTGTTTTTTTATTAAAAACGAGCCTTAATTTACAAATACATCATATTGCGTTTCATCAGACAGGCTAGCAGTTTCCCTCCGCTCCCAGTGTTGGTGCTAAGCTAGGCTAACCTGAAGTGTGTGTGTGTGTGTGTGTGTGTGTGTGTGTGTGTGTGTGTGTGTGTGTGTGTGTGTGTGTGTGTGTGTGTGTGTGTGTGTGTGTGTGTGTGTGTGTGTGTGTGTGTGTGTGTGTGTGTGTGTGTGTGTGTGTGTGTGTGTGTGTGTGTGTGTGTGTGTGTGTGTGTGTGTGTGTGTGTGTGTGTGTGTGTGTGTGTGTGTGTGTGTGTGTGTGTGTGTGTGTGTGTCACTTCTTCCTCTTGTGTTCCTCCTCTTATTGATTGTTTTCTCAGGAGTTTTTCTTTCTGTTGTTGTTTGTATTTATTTTGTGCCTCCCTCCGGTCCAAACACACATTCCTGCTGGTGGTGTTTTAATATTTCATGTTTCCTGTCCATCTGATGAATGTGACTTGTGTTCAGATTGAACTGATTTCAATGTGTGTTCTGCAGGAGCCCGTCAGGAGCAGGACAGTCAAATACTCACACACATTATAATCAGATATCTCACCATCTTGGAGCATTTCTTCATCACAACAGAGACTGTGTTTTATGATCTTAATATCACTATCTGATACCTGATCATTATATGATGTCTGAGTATTGATCTGAGTTCCTCCTGACGTCCTGTCCTTTCTCAGGGGCCTCACTTATGAACAAACTGTTTAAAGCTTTTTGAAATGAAGCTGCTGATTCGTCCAGATAAAGCTTCATAAATGACGCCCTGATGTTTGGGTGTGGGGGGGGGGGGGGGGGGGAGACGAACAGCTGATGTTTGGGGGGGGAGACGAACAGCTGATGTTTTCACTGTTTATTTACTTTGAACTGTCTTATTGTGAGGCAGTGGCACTGAGGGGGGGGGGGGCTTTACGTCATATTGTTGTATTTTCAGATGTACACGACAAATCAAACAACCCTCATGGACTACAGCTATTTTAATACTTATTTGTATCATTACAAATATAAGTTTTGTCGGGTAGAGCTCGGCTAGCATGTTGTTAGCGTGTTAGCTTCATATTAGCGGTTAGCTTCGGTTATGGTTGCCTTACCTCTGCTGCACTGCTATCTCTGGAAAACACAACAAACAGCCATTTCATTGGCTAGCTTAAATTAGCTAGCAGGCTAATACAGATTCTAGTGACTTAAAGTTATCTTTATCCACAGCTACAAGCTATTTAGCTCATTGGTAAGCTAACAGCTAATACTGGCTTGCTACGTGTTAGCTTCATGGTACTATGTTAGCATCACAGTTGCACTGTATTGTTCCTCCATTAAACCTAAAAACAGTTAGATAAACAACAATTTAAATGTTGTCGGAAAAAGGGTGTGAAACCCCTTTGTTAGCTTGTTAGCTCATTAGCTAGCTCACTTTGGTTGTTACAAAACAAGCAGTGTAAGCTAATGGGCTAATACTGGCTTGCTACGTGTTAGCTTCATGGTACCATGTTAGCATCACAGTTGCACTATATTGTTCCTCAATTAAACCTAAAACCAGTTAGATAAACAACTACAATTTAAAGAGCGGGAAACCCCTTTGTTAGCTTGTTAGCTCATTAGGTAGCTCACTTGGGTTGTTACAAAACAAGCCGTGGAGGATTTTAAATAATGATTAATATTATAATCATTTGATCAACAGATTAAACAACTCAGAATAACAGCTGGATAGTTTCAGCAGTTAATGGGCTGCTGTAATAAAAGGTGTAGCAGTGCTGTGGAGGTAAAGCTACGTCAGCTAGCTTAGCTGTAGTCCATGAAATAAAAAAGTATTAGTAGTTAAATTTTGCCATAAACGCCGTGCTGTGCCATAAACACTCCAGATCAATGTTCCACTGTTCAGAGGTCAGTTTTATATTTTATTTTTTGTATTCAGTTGTGATTTAGTTGTTTTTTTACTGTAACGCGGGGATCAGTGAGTCACATCACGGCTTCAAATCCCTGACTCCTCAAAGCTCTTATCCAATCAGACGCGTGGACATATCTCAGCTTCTCTCTTAGTAAAAGATGCACTGGATCTTCATCATCATCATCCTCACCTGTTTGCCAAATGTAGTTTTTGTTGTGAAAAAGGGGCATTTTATCCTGTTCTCTTTTCTACTCCATGACTCTTCCGTTGTGTCGATGAAATAATGAGGAAGACGTAAGAGAAAGTAAAACGAGCAACTCAAGGCAGCTACGAGAGAGACTACTGTAACATGACTAATAAAGAAGCTATGGGTTCCTTTCTACACCTGTCTGCACCTGTTTCTACACCTTTGTGTTCCTCAGGGTTCCTTTCTACACCTTTGTGTTCCTCAAGGTTCCTTTCTACACCTCTCTGTTCCTCAAGGGTTCCTCAGGGTTCCTTTCTACACCTGTCTGTTCCTCAGGGTTCCTTTCTACACCTCTCTGTTCCTCAAGGGTTCCTTTCTACACCTGTCTGTTCCTCAGGGTTCCTTTCTACACCTCTCTGTTCCTCAAGGGTTCCTTTCTACACCTGTCTGTTCCTCAAGGGTTCCTCAGGGTTCCTTTCTACACCTGTCTGTTCCTCAAGGGTTCCTTCGGGTTCCTTTCTACACCTTTGTGTTCCTCAAGGGTTCCTTTCTACACCTCTCTGTTCTACACCTTTGTGTTCTACACGATGTAAAATAAATAAAATGCTTTAACTTTAATAATAATAATAATACAAAATGTTTTACAGAATATCAAAGAATCCAAATAGCCACATAAATGCACTAACAGAATAATAAAAACCCACGAAGATGAGACGAAATACTATGGTATGCATTTAGTTAAAAAGTGTTTTAAAGACAGTGTTTATATGAATGCAGTGAATCAGGGGGGGGGGGTCTGTTCTCACTGAGGGGCCACACATACAGGTGAGGTATACTGCCTTATCAGTTACATGTTACATTACATCACATGTTACTTGTTAGATGCTTTTATCCAAAGCGACTAACATACTCAATACTGTGGGCAATCCCCACAGTTCAATGAAGTGTCTCAGGGACACAACGACATGCTGACTGCAGTGGGGTTTGAACCTGAGCTCCCCTGATCCCAACACCAACGCACAAGTCCACTGCACCACACGCCCTCCAGTGTCAGACCCAGGCCCGGCTCCAGGATGATATGACTGAGGGCCAGGCCCGGCTCCAGGATGATATGACTGAGAGCCAGGCCCGGCTCCAGGATGATATGACTGAGGGCCAGGCCCGGCTCCAGGATGATATGACTGCGGGGCAGGCCCGGCTCCAGGATGATATGACTGAGGGCCAGGCCCGGCTCCAGGATGATATGACTGCGGGGCAGGCCCGGCTCCAGGATGAAATGACTGAGGGTTGAGTTAGTCAAATCAATCAAATGTGGGCAAAGTATTCTCTGTACTTGAAGATTACTAGTGCATTGTGGGTGGATTTCAAGATGGCGCCTGTGTTGGCATGCCGCTCCCTCAGCTCTCTACCTTTAGCTATCCTGTTTTTGTTTTATGTTTGTCAGAATGTCTCTGCTCTGCTCGTCTATGATCGCCAAGCTCTCCTCCACCTCAGACCCTCACTGGAGTTGATATTGCTGCCCAAACCCCCCCCCCCTCTACTGTCGAATATCCCCACCTACCTGCGCCGATTGCCCTGCATCCTGCCTCGCTGAAAGCGCTTTAGACGACGGGGAAAGCGTGGTGGTGCACTGGTCCATCTGAAGGCATATCTGACGGCTTCTTCTGGGACTTATCCACGCCTCGGATGTCATGGCCCTCCCGCTGCACGCCATGTGAGGGATCGATGGATTCGCCCTGTCTTTCCGGAGCTGCGGACTCTGCTGGGCCCGCTGACAGCTCCTCCTGCCCGACTGACTGCTCTCGGCCCGCGCGGCGTTCAACACGCACATCTTCGTCCGCTGAGACGCACTACACCTTCGGCAAGCCCGGAGCGAAAACTTTGCATGGCTTTGCTAAATGCTAGGTCGATAGCAAACAAAATGTTCCTGCTAAATGACTTCTTCACCTCTCGTGATCTGGATTTGATGTTCCTGACGGAGACCTGGGTCCACGCTGGCGAGTATACACCGTTCTCTGAACTTCTTCCTCCTGACTGTACATTCTTCAGCTCCCCCCCCCCGTGCCACCGGCACGATCAGATCCTTAGAGATTATAATCAGAGGAAATATGAAGGTCTCTTTAAAGCTGGTTATGGAAACACGTTATTTTTATCAACCAAGATTTGTTGGAACATGTTTTAATTGACTGAATTCATTTAAAAGGTACGCTTATCAACACATGAATACTAATGTATATTATACGTTTGGGTGAGTTGCCCTAATGTGGGACACTTGTTTGAAGGTTGCTCCACCCTCATCTGTGATTGGACATTTGAGAAGTCATGTGAGTTTGATCGCATGACATCACAGCTTGTCTTAACCCATAGTTTACCATTGACTCTCATTTGTTTGCGGAAGACCCTAACCCATTAGGGCAGTGTTTCTCAAAGTGGGGGGCGCAAGAGACCAGGAGGAAAAGCTGTTATGACAACAAAAAAAAAAAATCATAATTTGAAAAATTATTGATTTGAAAATAATATGCGACAGTACAAGTACGTCTGCTTACACCTGTATGCCGTGAGCTGATTATCGAGCCTTCATTGTAACAGTCGCTGATACACTGTGTATTTGCGTGTGGATTGTTGCAGTAGAAAATTAAACTGTAGCGCCCGGTACATTAATGGAAAACCCTATATGTTTGAGCACCCTCTATGAAACGTCAAGCTACCCCACAGCACCCCCAAAAGAAATCTCTGGCGCCGCCACTGAGCCTGCGACCCCGTTCTGAAGAAATGTGCCAACAGGCTCATTGCAGACACTAATGATGAGACACACTTTGAGCCAAATATCAGCATTTTCTTTCTTTTCATTTTGTTGCAGAATGGAAAGTGGCAAAGTATTATAACTTATTGTTCTAGCAAAGGGATTGCACAATTGAATTATGTATTTATTTTTTGGAGCACACAGAATTATGAAGCATTGTTTTATTATCACTGTTCTAGCAAAGGAATGCTCACGTTCATATCGATGTATTTTAATACATGTTAACTTGGCCCATTACGTGA